GGCCAGCACCGGGAGTAACTAACTCCCTCCACTGGGAGTGACATTGCCCGGTGCTGGTTGGGACGGGGTGTGGGCTCAGAGCTGGAAGAAAATGGGGAGACTGTGAGTCATCCAACATGTGAGGAAGAAGCCATGTTGACCCACATAATGAGGAAGCTGAGGGCCAGAGGGAAGACATGCCCGGTGGGAGGTCCTGGAGCTGAATTCCCCCTCGGGTTTGCCTGTCCTTTGGCTCTTCCTCTCTACCTGCCAGATGAAGCCACTAGGACCTGGAGGGTGGGGTGGGGACCTGGAGAAGCTGCACAAGGCCATGGGGTCCAACCGAGGGGAGGAGCGGCAGCCTGGGCAGAGGCCAACACTCTCTCTTTTTCTCACTGCTTCACTTCCCTATCATCCGCAGACCTTTGGGACCTCGACTTGTTAACCACAGAAGCAGAATTCCAGCAAGGTAGGCAAGCAGCGAGCAGGGCAGTCTGTGAAGGAGCGTGATCTGGAACGGGGAGAGGGAGAGGCAGGGCGAGGCATGTCCATCCATTCCTGTCAGCCACCAGTCTGTTCTTCTGACCCCAGACCTTGGCCTCTGGGATCACACTGCCCAGAATCTCCTTCGGATCGGTCTGGCTTTCCTGGTCCTGGTGGCCCTCATGTGCCTCCTGGCTGAAGACTGGCTTTGGAGGAAGAGGGCACAAGAAAAAGCCAATGGGAACGATACAGAGAAGATTAGCATGGCCCCTGTGCAAGGATGACACACAAATTCGTGAAGCATTCCATATTTTTGGGTGGGGGGATGGGTTAGCCTGGTGGTGGGTATTAAAGAGGGCACATTCTGTGTGGAGCACTGGGTGTTATGCACAAACAAGGAATCATGGAACACTACATCAAAAACTAATGATGTAATGTATGGTGATTTACATAACAATAAAAATTAAAAAAAAAAAGCCAATGGGGCTTCAAGTCAGGAACGCAGGAGAAGGTCCAGAACACAGAGACGCCTGGACAAATGACTGAGAGAGGTGCTGGCCACAGGTAGAGCTGAACACTGGCCTTGACCCTGAGCTGAGTGAGCTCTGTGTTGTATCCATGGAGGGGGGTTCCCTGCAGGAAACTGAAGGACAGCTGCGTGGAGTCTAAGCTTCCAGGAGGAGTTGGGCAGGGGGAATGAAAGACCTAATTTCTCCTGCAGACAGACCCTCTTGTCTCTTGTTGAGTGTAAGCATTTTTGTGCCTGCCTGATGAAAACCAAAGTTTTAACCACCCTGGTTTTCACCAAATGTATCTCCTTTGTAAACAGCATCACCACAGAATATTTCCTTCCTGCTTTGGTCTTTATCCCTAGTTCTTCTTTCCTTTGCTGCAATATGTCATTCAAGATTTTTAATAACAAGTACAGAAAAAAATAATAATAACCAGTACAGAATAGGCATTTATCAAAAGGAACATCACCCAGAGAGGCACCACCGGGTTAATGGAGATGCAGGCTGTGAGCACACGTACAGCTGAGTGTGTCCTGGCTAGGTCTCAGCCTTGTCCCAATTCCTCTCTCTTATACCACCTCAAGCTTCTGTCTTCCTCACTTCTTTATCCAGAATTTGCCTTCCTCCTTGGGTTTCCCCCCAAGAAAGCTCCCCAAACCCTCCAACTTGACTTCAGATATCACTTCCATGCTCCCAAAGCACCTGTTGTTCGTCTGTAACATCACTGGGGCTCTAACACTGCATACATATCCATTTTCCTGTCTCTACAGTGAACTTGTATGAATTAAGTCTGTGTTGGGTCTGGTGGCTGTGCTCACAGCTCCTGACACTAAGAGCGTTCTCCGGAAATATACGTCAGGTCAATGGATATACAAATGAGGCTGTAGCTCAGCTTAGCTCTCGAGACTCCTAATTATTGTCCTTGAAATGCTATCTGGACTCTTTGTTCCTTGAGAACTTCTTCTTGATCAACCCATTAATATAACCATTATATGGGTCCCTGCCCTCCTCAAGATTCTGACACCTCACACGGTGTCAAATCCATTCTCTAAATCTGAGTTCCTGTTATGTATCAGAGAACATTAATTCCAACCTCAAAAGGGTTGGACATGCATTTTTAATGAGATAAAGAATATCCAGAAACCAGTATAGGCTCTGACACATGTAAGTTAACTCAATGCATGGTAGCTGTTATTATTCCCAGTACAAGGGGGAACTGAAACTCACACAAATTGTTACCTCAGTACCAGTGGATCAGTACTGAGTGTCCTTCTTTCTGTTCTTCATCTGCTAGGTCTTCACAGACCAAGAACTTCTGTTGATACTGAATCATAATGTTCTTTATCCCAAGACATGATGGACTTCCTCAGAGTGTGTTTATGACATCCCAAATTTTCCATATCCTAAGCTATGGCAGGAAACCTACAGTCTCAAGGGGGGAAAAATGTGTAAGGTAGAAGAATTTTGGATCTCCAGATATAAGTGCAGGGGCTTGAGAGCCTCCTCAGAAGGATGGAGGGGTCTTTTCCACACAAGGCTGTTCCCCACACTGCTCCAAGTCAAAATCTTCCAAAACTGGTTAACAGGACTAGACCAGATGGTTAAGTAGAGCATTACTCTTTTTGAAATGTTGCACCCAGTTTGTATTCCAGACAGCGAAATGAAGCATGGGGAAGAAGGAAGGGAGGGAAAGGGAGAGAAAGTACCGGCCAATTGTTTGTTATGGAGGTTTATTGGAAACACTTAAAAACACTTCCATCACAGCAGGGAGGACATTAGGAGAAGGAAGGGAAAAATGAAGGGGGGAAATCGGAGGGAGAGATGAACCATGAGAGACGATGGACTCTGAGAAACCAACTGAGGGTTTTAGAGGGGAGGTGGGAGGGGGAATTGGTTAGCCCGGTGATGGGTATTAAGAAGGGAACGTACTGCATGGAGCCCTGGGTGTTATACGAAAACAATGAATCGTGGATCACAACATCAAAAACTAATGATGTATTTTATGGTGACTAACATAACATAATAAAATAAAATTAAAAAATTTTTTAACCATTAAAGTGCTAACATGATAAAAAAACACAACAAAACAAAAACACTTCCATTTATTTCTCAGTGGTTAGAACCTAATAGCTTGCCCCACTTGGATGCAAGGGAGGTTGAGGAAGATAGCCTTTATTCCAGGCGTCTCTGTGACGAGATAAATGCTGGCATTTCTGTTACCAATGGAGTGAGGAGGGATGTGGCAGAGTTGTGATAGGCAGCTGCAGTCTCTGCAACCAGAGCCTACTATGTGCCAGGCACTGGTAAAAGGACCACATCCCTGCTAGAACAGGGATGATTGTCCAGGAGAGCAGATCTTCAAGAAAGTGAGTAAATGCAGGGAAAGGGGACAAGTTGGGATAGAAGAAATACAGGATGCCACTGGAGCTTCTTTCTATGCAAAATTACATTCTAGAGAGACATTGAGGAGGGCATACAAATGAGGAATGGGGGTGACAGTGGCAGGGGTCTGCACCAATTCATGCAGAGGCTCACATGTGGGACAGAGGGTGAAAACCATGTAGTATTAGTAGAGCTTTGATTCTGGGTGACACTGGGTGCATCACACCAAGCACAGCCATGGAAGCCACATCTTAAATGCACATCTCATCTTTAAGGCAAAGGGAGCTCATTTAGCACTTTTATCATGGCTGGGATAGGATGACGTGTGCATTGCAGAAAGATCCTTCCAATTAGAGAGAGAAAAGAATAAGCAGAAGAAAACAAAACCATGGAGAAACAGCACAGTTGAGAATGTCATCTATTTCTGGGGTTGCCAATCAGAGAGAAGACAAACTGATAACCCAGAGGGAGGTCCAGCAATGGATGATGGGTCCTGGTCCTGAGATTGGTAATATTTGCTGGTTTTGTTACTTTTCAGAATTGCCTAGATTATTCTGAGCCCTTTAGATTTCAATATTAACTTTAGGATGTCGGTTGTCACAAAAGACCAGCCTGGGTTGTGCAGGAAATTGTACTAAAGCTACAGATCGATTTAGGGGGAATTATCATCTCTTCAATCTTTAAATCCATGCAAGTTTGCACCCTAAATGTGTTATATTTTGCCATGTATTTACATGTTCCCTGATTTCTTTAAATAATATCGTGTAGTCCTCTGTGTACAGAATGTGCACATCTTTTGTTAGATTTCCACAAGATATATCCTATAGTTATATCATCCCCAGATAGATCCCTAGGTATGTGACTTTTATTTTGTAAGTGGTATCATTCTTTAAATAATTTTATCACTGTTGTTTATTGCTGGTATTATAAAAATAAAATTGGCTCTTGTATATCTAATATGTACTCAGTGGTCTTGCAAATTTCACTTAATTTTGACAGTTTAAGATTATTTCTAGGTTTAAAAATTTTTAGAATTTTTTGTAAAATTGATTTCTTTTTTACTGTCTTAACTACCTGGCTAGAACCTCCAGCACATTAATGGATAGCAAGGATCCTTTTCTTAGTACCAATATTATGGGGAATATTTTTAATATCTTACCACTGAGTAAGCAAATTGCTATAGTTTTTTGTAGATATTCATTGTCCCAGTAAGAAAATTCCTTTGTATTCTGGTTCTGCTAAGCTTGTTTCCATTTGCAAATGAGAAAGAACATATCCAGTGAGACCAATTAGGAGACTCCTACATTATTCTAGATGACAGTTGATAATGGCTCAGAGAAAGTGGAGACCTTTGACATATTTTAGGCACATAAGTCATATTTCATTTTATTGCTTAGAAATGATGGCTGAAAATTATGGAAGCAGCCCAAATGTCCATCAACTGATGAATGGATAAAGAAGGTGTATATATACAATGGAATATTACTCAGCCATCAAAAAGAATGAAATCTTGCCATTTGCAATGATGTGGGTGGAGCTAAAGTGTATTATGCTAATTGATGATAAGTTATGGTAAGTCAATCAGAGAAAGACAAACACTATATGATTTTACTCATATGTGGAATTTAAAAAACAAAACAAATGAACAAGGGAAAAAAACGAGAGGGGACAAACCAAGAAATAGATTCTTAACTATAGAGAACACACTGATGATCACCAGAGGGGAAGTGGGTGAGGGGATGGTGATTAAGGAGTGCACTTGTTATGATGAACACTGGGTGATGTATGGAAGTGTTGAATCATTGAATTATGTGCCTGAAACTAATATTTCACTGGATGTTAGCTAACTGGGATTTAATAAAAACTTAAAAAAAAGAAACAATGACTAAGCAGGTAGCAGGATCAGCTCTGGACGAAGGACTCTGGACAACTTGGGTGGATGAAGAAGGGGACATTTCCCTCTCACTCCTACCCACAGGTGAACCATGAGCTGCACGGTAAGAAGATACATTTGGGGCAAAGTCAGAGATACAAATTAATGGCCCATCTTCCCAAACTGAAAAGGTTTCATTTTTTATTGAAATATAATTGACATATAACATTGTGTCAATCTAAGATGGACCACAAGCTGGTTTGATACACAATATGCACTTACATATTGCAATATGATTGTCACTGTAGTGTTTGTGAACACCTCTGTTGTATCACATAATCATTTCTTTGTTGTGGTGGGAATGAGTAAGATGTAGTCTCTTAATGATGCAATATCATTGTCTGGAATCACTATACTCTATATTAGACCTCCAGGACCTTCTTATTTACTAGTTGCTAGTTCATACCCTCAAACAACGTCTCCCCATTTCCCCCACCCCCATCCCCTGGCCACCACCACTCTCCTCTCTGTTTCTGTGAGTTAAGCTTTTTCAGATTCCACATATAAGTGACAACATACGGTATTTGCCCTTCTCTGTGTGATTTATCTCACCTCTAGTAATGCCCTCAAGGTTCACCCATGTTGTCACAAATGGCAGGATTTCCTTCTTTCTCATGCTGAATAATACATGAAAGCATTTTCGAGAAGCAGGCACGCTCATCACTCTACAGCACATCACTGGGGCTCTGGTGCTAGACTGTCTCTGGTGCTGGACAGGTTGGTGCTACAGTAGCCTGGTCTCACAGACATTAGGTAAGGTGATGTTTGAGGGCTGAGTGACACCTCCTTTCCCTACTCAGTCCAACCTCCCTTCTTTCTGCATTTACCCCAGATTCTTCCATATTCCTAATTACAATAAGACTGGCTCTCCAGGCTGTGTGCCCTGTTTTCTTCATCTCGTTTCATACGACAAATCTAGTGCAGAATCAGGAGGTAGCGGGGAAAGGACCAAATTCAGTCTCTATGAAAAACCTGTGTTCCTGAGACAAGGTAGGTCCCCTCTATTTCCACCTTCCATTTGCCAAAAGGAGGAACAGTAGCTCCTTCTCAGCAATGTTATAAGGATGTGATGTCACCCTAGAGATATGTCAATGTTCCACCACCACTGGGACCTGACTTTTCCAACTTTGAGTTATCAATGGGAGCTCAAGCTTCAGAACATGGACGGTTATGTGGGGAAAGCTCCATCCCTCTACTCTTACTGGTCTATGGCTCTGAAGACCAGTTTTCTGCTTGGCCCCTCACACTCAGGCATCAACCCACTGGGAGCTGGTTTCTCCGCCCACACACACTTCCGCTGAAGCTGTTTTTGTGATAAACATTAATGGCTTCCTGGAACTCACAGTGGATGCTTCTCAGCCCGTGTCTCACCTTTGTTCCTCTGTTGGTTGTATGACCACTTCCTCCTTGAAACAGTTAGCTTCACTGGCCTCCTCCACTCGTTTTCTGACTATCCTGTACCTTCAGTTTGCAGGCTCTCCACCCTCAGAGCTTGTGGGTTCCATGGTAGACCCGCCTTTCTCTGGATACAAGTCTGGGTGGATCTCATTTAATGCCGTGGTTTCAATTTCTCTAAGACAGATGCTCAAATCAAATCTGTCTCTCTGAACCCAAGGTTGTTGTTGTTGTTGTTGTTTTCTGGAACTTCGGGTTATTTTATCAGGTTCTTCCAGCCAGCCTGGACTCATCATCTTCCTACCACCAAAGTTGTTCTTCTCATTTGGAAAACTCCCCACTCTGTTCACGGCTCCTTTGCTCTTTTCTATACTCATGCTTCTTCTCTGATCGCTGCTGGGAGGAAGTGCCGCACAAATTAGCAGGTAATGATGCATTTGTCATTTACGTGTTTGTGGGTAGATATTGATATTTTTATTATTTCTCCTAACAAGTGTCCTTTCATCAGTTTGCCTTTTGGAAGTCGAACCAGGTGAAGATCTTATATATAAATATTTTTGGGAGCACCTGTGCGGCTCAGTCAAGAGTTTAACTTTTCTTTTTTTTTTTTTAATTCAAGTTAGTTAACATATAGTGCAGTACTGATTTCAGGAGTAGAATTTAGTGACTCATCAGTTACATATAACCCCAAGTACTCGTCCCAACACGTGCCCTCCTTAATGCCCATCACCATATCAGCTCAGGTCTTGATCTCCGGGCCGTGAGTTCAAGCCCCACATTGGGCTCCATGCTGGGCATGGAACCTACATAAATAAATAAATAAGCAAACAAACAAACAAATAAATATTTTTAAAAGATTGTCATAAATTTTAAGTGTTTAATATATATAGTATATATTATATATTATATGTATAATTTCCTCAGTTCCATTCATGTCACAGTGTTTTTCTGATATATGGTATCAACTGCAACTCACACTTTAATTTGTGCGTCA